CAAGTTATTTATCTAGAGAATAATCAACAGAAAATTAGAATTCAGATAGGAGTAAGCCAAAATATATATATATATATATATACACATCTTAAAATGTAAAGGAAAAATGTATTAGAAGGCTCTCTCCAAAAAAGAAAGCAACATAGAACACAACTTCAACAACTTAGCAAATGAAATGCAAAGAAACAGCAAGTAAACAATACATAGAAGAATTTTTATTTTGCTAAAGAATCATCTTTTAAAGGACATTATGTCATAAAGGTCAGTTAAAAGAAAAGACAACTACAATAAAGGGAACTGGGCATTTCAAGTTCTTCTTCAAAAGTCCTTCAGTACATGGTATATATTATAAAAAATGATGAAGCACCTAACATGAGCTCTTTTGGTCTAAGAACAAGTGTGCATGGCAATTCTCAAGTCACTGCTTTAATAATGAGCTTGATTTATGCTCTATTTAGTAATAATCTCTTTGATGGTCTGGGGCTGAATAGAATGGCAGTTGACTAGAAATAGTCAAATGTCTGCAGTGGCAGCAGCAGAAGTCAAGAAAGAAAATACTACTGACATATTTTCTATGAAACTATTTGCTCCATTCCACAGTAAAATATACATAAATTAAATGAAATGAGATGATAATGATTTCTTTTGAATTTAAACATTGTTATTGTGGACTGGGGAGTTTCCAAAACTAAAACAACAAAGAAGCAATAAGCAAGCAGTTAACCTGGTGCAGTAGATTTTCATGAGTAAGCATAACACCTTTTGGGTTCCCTGTGGTTCCACTTGTATACACAACAGTGGCAATGTCATCTGAGCTAATGGTTTCATATATATACTGTTGTCCTGAGGTCACATCAATTAAACCAATTGTCAAAATGGTTTCAAAGAAATGCAAATTAGATGCATTGTATTTCTAAAGAAAGATAAAGGTAACAGCCAATAAATAATAACTGATGACAATAAATTATCTCTAAATACATATTCCACCAAGAAGTAGCAAAACAATTTTTGCATGCAACTAATCAACTTACTAGCATCTTCAGAACTGCAAAGAGCCTCACGGCTCTCTCTTCCCAGATCTAGGATCTCCTTGTAACTAAAAATAGGTATACCCTCCATCCCTTCAGTGGCTAGGCATGATTTCTCCCCCCAAAGCAGAACAACAAATCTCATCAATGCTCTGGAACAGAATTTTTCTGCTATCCGATTGAAAAAATCAGGGTTGTCTATAGCAATTGCAACACTGCAGTAATAATACACAACAATATATAATGAGGAACTTCAGAAATGAGAAATCAAGGCAGAATATTCCCAGATAATGAAACCTCATGCAATTGTGACTTTCATAAAACAATAAACTCATAAATTATTAGAAGACACAACATTGGTGAGGTTCCGAATGATTTCAAAACTCTTAACACAGATCAGCAATATATCCCTAACAATCATCAATTATCTTAGAAACTTTTTTCTTACAATTAGAGTGAATGACTTCACATCTGTGATTGAACTGAACAAGTTCAATAACTCTCATGGAATATTAAAAATTTTTCACAAAGCGAGTACATTCAAGCCAATAAAGATATATCTTTATTCTGCACCAGAAATTTGTAGCAAATAGACTTGAATAATATGTACTTATGGAAATTTATCTATAGAAACAAAGTCAGGTTCCAATCAGATCTGTTTCAACAACAGAAGTTAGAATGAAACAAGCAAAAGAAGATGTACTGAAAGGGAGCTTTATCCCAAACCTATCTGAGTGATTGTATATTTGTAAAAGCTCTTCTGAAGGTGACCTTGATCCTCTGACAACATTAATAGCACCTGTTGCCATCATACCTGAACCAAAATAATGCACCAAAATTAGTATGTAAAGCATTTTTCTACTAGGTTCAATATAAATATAATAATTTTATAAAAATTTAGGAAAGGAAGTAAACAATTAATTTACAAAAACTCCATACCTTGATCTGCAACAAGCCACCTGCACGAATTGTCGGCAAAGAGTGAAAGCTTCTCGCCTGGCTTTATTCCAATAACTCTTAAGCCTTCAGCAAAGTCCAAAATTGCCTGCTCTAGCTGTAATGTGAAGGAAGTTAAGAACAACAACAGAGAAGACAATATTCAAGTTTGCATGTACAAATCCAAGGGCGACCTTCCCGCCACCTCACACCTATATCTCCTAAGAATGAACTTCTTTAAAATAAAATCCAAAAGCTTATGACATAAAATCAGTTCCAAAAAGATGTGATCAATCACTCATATGAAAAAGTGGCACCATATTACAGACGTTTCTAAAATGAATAATCACACATCTACTAAAAAGCTAGAGCTTACTAACACATAGGAACCATAAAAAGGAAAATTCACCTGTTTATAAGTCATCGTTGACGGCGGATCATGGTATGGATCTATCACTGCTATCCGAGGACCAAACTTTTCAGCTGAAAACCTCCAAATGTCAGGAACTGCTTTCAATTCTTCAGAAACCAATGCAACATTACTTGAAAGATGCGCCTTTTCTAGCAAAGGAGAGCATTTTCTTATCTTCAACTCCTCTGTCTATGTATCAGAAAACAGATGTTAAGGAGGACCCTATAAATCCTTCTTCTTGTTGCAATATAGGGTCTTAATATTCAAATTTCCAAGCTTTTATCTTTTATCGATTATTATGGCCCATCGGAACACTCAAGAAACTAAAAATAAAAGAACCAGATAAACCACAAAATACGAAATCACACAGATAAACCAAGTAAAAAAAAAAAACAAAAGAATTCACAAAAGGGTATTGAAAAATCACCTTGGATTGGCAAAAGACTTGAAATTTACGAGGTGGGGAGATTCGGAATCTGGTTCCAACGATATTATGGAATGGAGTCAACGAGAGAGTTGATGCCAACGATACGCTTGCCATCCGGTTCGCAGAAGAAGAAAGGAACACCCGAGTTGGAGTTACAGAAATTATTAGATGGAATGGTGGAGGTATTCCTCAGAAATTCAATGAAATCGGGAATTCCATGGGAGAGAGAAAAAAAAAAAAAAGAGCGAGAATGGCGAGGAGGTAGTGATGATTGTCAGGATTGAGTGATGGGCGTCTTCCCATTTTGGAGTCGCCAAAGTCAAGTCTCAAGACAAAAAGCGACACCATTGACACTGACTTTCGTTTCGTCTGGCATTTACTCCGTCCTTTTGTACCTTAAGCCCATATTTTGGCCATGGTTATCCACATATAAATTTCTTATAATATTTCTGTTTTATAATTTAAATTATATATTAAAATTATAATTTATTTTATAAATTTATTAAAATATTTTTAATAAAGTAATATAAAAAATATTTTATTAAAAATATTTTAATAAATTTATAGATAAATTACAATTTTAATATACCATTTATCTTAAAAAAACATTTTTTTTCATTTCTTAGCAAGATTATATAAAATATTTTTTAATAAATTATTATAAATAGTTAATTATTATTGTTGTTAATTAATAGAGTAATTAATGTTTACTATTTAATATAATGAAATTAACTTATAAATCAATGTTTTCCATAACTACAACAGTTGTTTTGTAAATAAAATTATAAATTAATAAAAATCAATCTAACTAAATATATTTATTGTATTATAAATAATAGATTTTAAATTTAAATTATATAATATACAAATAAAATGAATTAAAAAATAAAAATATTAGTTTTAGTATACAATTTATAATCATAAAAAATAATAATATTTATTTATTTTTTATTATACTATTTAAATAATCATAACAAAAAAATATGATTCCTCACATTTGAATCAAATAATTTACCACTTAACTGTTAATGAGAGTACTATCCCAAGTTGAATGTTCAAGTTCCTTCAAGATTTCCTTTTCCATTCCCGTTAATATTGTAGATATGATTGTAAATTATTTTAAAAAAAAAACAAACAAAAAGGTGTGTGCAATAAACAAGCCCCATATTTTGCTAGAAACGGGCTTTAAGTTGTTAGATATTGCCATAAAAATTGTTACATTTTTTTATTTTATTTGATTATTAAAATTAGTTAATAGTTAATAAAATATTTA